TAAAGAGGACATTCATACATAGAAAAATGCCATGCAACTTCAACTCATTTTTCATTGTTTCTAGTTGCAAAAATGTGCAATCCAGCTGGGAGGCCATATCATAAACACAACCTATATAGAATAACCACAGAAGTGTAATTCAAGGTTTAGCTGCCTTGATGTCCCAAAGTCCTTCAGCCTACTGGAGAATCCCTCATCCTTTAAGATTTAATGGATATGGTCTTGAACCCCCATCCTATATCAAATGAGAAAAAACAACACAGTATTGCCCCCAATATTTCTGAGGTTTCTTGGACACCTTACCTCTTGCCTTATAATCTATGACTCTATTTTTACTCCTGTTGGCTGCTTTGTCTCTGCTGACTGATCCATTTACAACACACCATCTACGTTGGACACCACTTAGTTTCTTGAATTCTTCAAAATACTACTACTGGCACTAGCTCATCTGTAGAACAGGCTTTTACTGAAGATTTGAGGGCAAAACTAGGGTAAATATTAGGTATCCTTGTTCTTAAATGCCCTTTGCCCATTTCTGCCTTTGAGAAGTCCTCACTGGCCATCTCTTCACAAGCAGCCATAGTTCAGCATCATTTTGCTCCATTTTTTTCTTTCTTTTGCCTTCCTATTTTCTACCTGCTACTTATAAGCCCCACCCCATCCCTATTACACTTATGTAGCAATAATAACTAACACTGACTAAATGCTTACTTTATATCAGGCATTAAAAGTGCTTTATGTATGTGCTTTCATTTGGCAGATGTTTTCTCTGCATTCATTTTGCCCCAGGTGTAGGACCAAACCTTGGAGCTTCATCTTTTTTCAGTCCTCAACCAATATTAAACACTTCATTTATTATTTACTATTTATTTATTTAGGCGAGGCAGTGCTAGCTCCTGGGCTTTGGCAGCAAACAGAGTTGGTCTCTTTCCTCCTGGAGCTCCACATTCAGGGCTGATAAAAGTAACTTGTTAAATAAAGACATTTCTGTCTTTGAGGGAATTTCCAGATTTTATAACAATTATTTTTATATTTGCTTCAACAAAAGACAACAATAAAACAAACAGCAAAATAAGACAAAAATACAAGATGCCACACAGCAGGACATGACTGGCACACAGGTACTTCAGAAAGTGTAAATATGTTAGAAGCTGCTGAGACCACTTGGATTAAACCAGTGGGCCTTGAGCCACTGGATTAGAGCAAGCAGATGTAGGGAGGGAAGCCTGAGGTCGTATGAAAATAGATGTAGTGGTTATAAGCATGGCCTTTGGAGTTAGACAGATCCTGGGCTCAAATCCCAGCTCTGTCACTTACTATGTGACTCTAGGGAGCAATTTATAATCTCTCTAAGCCTATTTCCTCTCCTGGAAAACTTGGATAGTAATAGTACTTTCCTCAAAGGGTTGTTGTATGGATTAAATGGAGGAAGAAAACAAACATGTAAATCTCAATAAGTAAGCAATGCCAGAAGTGTGATAAGTACCAAGCGAAAGTTCATGTATAAAGGAGCAGACTCTCTGAGGTCCTTGCACTTTAACTACTTGTGAAAAGACTATCTTTGGAGACCTTACCATTTCCACAATGTGGTATTTCATGTACATTCAAATTTTCTAGCAACGTGTAAGGTAGATATAACTATCATCACCTTCATTATTCAGAAGTGGATATTGAGCTTCAAAGAGATTAAGAATTTTCACGTGGCTTCAAAGGAACTCAGGCCAAGACTTTGAATCCAGATCTTCTGGCTCCTAATCTTTTTATTTCTGTCTTAAAAGTCAATTATTCTCACAGAGGCGAGAACCTGGCTTGACAACCAATAGCTTAGGCAAGAACTTCCACCAAGAGTAGATCGGGCATCTAAAGCTAAGTCAGAAGTGGGAGTCAAACACAAAATTTGTGTGCCTCAGGCTTCCAGAAATAATTGGCCAAATATAAATCGATAGAAATGCCCATTAATAGAGAAAGGATAACGTAGGTACCTCCTTACATGGGGTACCATGTAGCCAACAGAATGAATGAGGTACATCTATATGTACTTGCCTAGAAAGACGTCCACACACCTTAAACAAGAGGGCAGGCTGTGGAACAATATGCACAAGAGGGACGTCATGGGTAGTGTTTCAGAGAACAGACGTGACCCACTAAATGACTCAGGTGGCCACTGTCCTTTCCTCATCACATGGTCCCCTTTCCACGCTATTACTCCCACAGCCTCCTTTCACAACTCCCGTTTCTCTTGGTCCTGCTTATCTTTTCTCTCCCCCTCCCTCTTCCCCAGTTTCCTCTCTCCTCTCTGCTTGCGGCTCCTACATCAGGGACCTTAGGAGCACTGGTTTGTGGAAGCCAAGCGCATGCGCTTCCTAAACCGGGGCGTGGGCATGTTTGCCCCGCCCCCAGGATGAGTCCAAGAGTCATTGATCCCGTGCCTGCACCCAAACCCGGCTGCCCAGCCCATTTCCGCCCACGTCGCCTTAGTGCTCAACTGGGGAAGTTGTCGTTGAGTTTGCAGAGATCACATTCGGTGCCGGGTTTTCCTGTTCGCTTCTCTGGCTGGTGAGACTCTTCTGGAGGTGGTGGTGTTAATGATTGCCGTGCTTCCTGCTGTTACAGCTCCGCCCTCCAAGTGCGGGAGTTTAAACCAGATTTGCTTTAACTAGGAAACTGAGAATAAGAAAGCCCGCCCTTCCCCCTGAAAGGAGATAATGAGTTCCCTCCCCTCCGTGCTACAAGCTTCCTTGTGTGAACTAAATTGCATACAAAACTCAAACTGATAGTCGTGAACTAAGCTCCTTAAATAGTAATGATTAGTAGCAGGTAACCCTTACATTGAGCCTACAGTGAGCAGTCAACCTCACAACCTTTGCCTATAGGTAGGTCCATTTACCCCCATTTTATTGATGAGGAGCCATGACACAGAGAAGTTAAGGAATTTGCCCGGGTTCACCCAATGTACATTCATTTAGTACATTTAGTGGCAGAGCCTGAATTAGAACCCAAGTAATCTGGCCAAGTGTCCAGTACCACCAAGCACTGCATTCTGCTGCCTCGCAGAAAGAAACCAGGCCAGGGTGAACATCAATGTGCAGGTCAGGAAGCAGTTTATTGAGGCTTTGCTTTCTTTTATGTCAACTTTGGGAAATAGGAGAGAGGAGATTGGAATGGAGACTGGAAAGAAGACCAAGAAGTTCTGAGCTCAGAAGACTGTGAGGTGGAAGAAGGTAGATTAGTTACAGGAACATACAAGTATCTACATCCATTTTTAGACATATAAATATAATTTATTGAGGTGAAATTCACATTACATAAAACTGATCTTTTAAAAATGAACAAGTCAATGACGTGTAGTACATTCATACTGTGCAACCACCACCTCTACTAGTTCCATAACATTTCCATTACCCTGAAGTAAAACCACATGCTCATGAAGTGGTTACTCCCAATTCCCCACGCCCCCCAGCCCCTGGCACCACCAACCTATATTGACTCTATGGACTCATCTGTTCTGAACTTTCACATAAATGGAATCATACAAAATAGAATCATACAATAACAAGCCTTTGTGTCTGGCTTCTTTGACTTAGCATAACATTTCCAGGTTTCTCTTTGTAAGTAGCATATATTGGTACTTCATGCTTTTTATGGCTGAATAAAATTCCATCAAATGTACATAACACAGTTTGTTTATCCTTTCAGCCATGGATGGACATTTGGACTGTTTCTATCTTTTGACTATCCTATATAACAAAGAGGTAGTATGCAAATTGACATTCACACCCTCACAAGATGGCTGCCAAAGACCAGTCCGGCAGGGGGGTTAGTGAGCGGCTGACCAAACGACTGAATAAGCAGGCTGGGTGGGGCAACTAGGCTGGCAGGGGTGACAGTTGGGGGTGACCAGGCCATCAGGGGGGGAAGTTAGGGGTGACCAGGTCAGCAGAGGGGGGCAGTTGAGGGCGACCAGGCCAACAGGAGGGGCAGTAAGGGGTGACCAGGCTGGTGGGGGGGGGCAGTTAGGAGCGACCAGGCTGGCAGGGAGGGGGCAGTTGGGGGTGACCTGGCTGGCAGCGGGGGGCAGTTAGGGGCAATCAGGCCAGCACGCAGAGGCAGTAAGGGGCGATCAGGTCCGGGGGTGGGGGGGGGGAGTTAGAGGTGACCAGGCAGGCAGGCAAGTGAGCAATTAGGAGCCAGCAGTCCAGGATTGTGAGAGGGATGTCTGACTGCTGGTTTAGGCCCGAACCCCTGGATTGGGCCTAAACCGGGAGTCGGATATCCCCCAAGGGTCCCGGATTGGAGAGGGGCAGGCTGGGCTGAGGGGAACCCCTCCCCCAATGCACAAATTTCATGCACCGGGCCTCTAGTTATGAATAATGCTACTGTAACATGTACATATATACTTGTATGAATACCTATTTTCAGTTCTTTTGCATCTATGCCTAGGAGTGGTATTGTAGGAACATGAGGTAATTCCATGTTTAACTTTTAAGGAACTCTATATCCTTTTGAAACTCTTAATAGCATAATATTTTAATACTATAAATAATATTAGATATAAGGAATATATGAGACATTTTAAATCAGAGTGGTAAAATTTGGGGCCAGAGAAACCTGTGCATTATAGGATGCTTAATAGCAATCCTGGCCTCTACCTAGTAGATGTCAGCAGCATCCTTCCCCTCTTCCCCCATTTGTGACAAGTAATAATGTCTCCAGACATTGCCAGATGTCCCCTGGGAGGCAAAATTGACATCCTGTTTTGAAGGATTCCCTGTAAACTTGAAACAAATAGGGCACTAAAGCACAATACTAAAACAAAGTAAGGATCTTTAAGAAATGGACATTCCTTCCAAGTTTGTAGATAGGAAATACTTTTTGTTTACTATGTTATGTTAAGGAGGTTGTATGTGTGACAACCAGAAAAACATTTTATCATTATATATTCATGTAACTTTCATATGTATCTTTAGAACCATAAGTCTATCTCATCCACAGAACTCCAAAAAATACAGCTTTTCACCGCAGTGTGCATTACATACTAAGTCACATTTATAGCAGACTGTATCACAGAATTTTTAAGGTGGCAACTAGAAGGAAGATTTGCCAGATATTTTTGATATGGTAATATTTATTATTTCACATGTAAACTCAGACAGAGCCCATAAAGAATTTCCTATTTGGTTCAGCCAAATAATGGAAAGACAAATGCTGATTTTCATTACTGGCATACAGTGAACCAAATTATTTTTTTACATGTACTGTTAAAGATCATGGTGAGTTAGTTGCAGAGTGGGAACTCTTGACTACATAAATACCTTTACCATCAAAAGTCTGTCAAGACCGAGACTGTTATGAAAATGGACCAGCCTTAGGCACACACAGTATTGTTGTAGAAGTCACAGCAGTTAGTAAGGGCTGTGGCACTGAATTCTTTATTTTCCCATGGACCAGAAAAAGAAGGAGCGTTGGTACCATTCAGAGAAGTACTGAAATGAAAAGCCAGAGAGATACATAGTGGGTCAGATTTTTTAAAAAATTCAACAAGACATATCAATAAGTTCTACCAAGCAACTGGAAAAACAACAACAACCTATAAATGGATCCAATTGCAATGACCAATTAAATAGGACAGAATTAAGTATATTTATTTTCTCATTCATGCCCAAGATAAGACCTGTATATAAGCATTTATTTCCACCACCCCCTATATACACTGCCCCCCCCCCCAGTCCCAGGCAACCACCACTCTACTCTGTTTCTATGAGTTTGACTTAAAAAAAATTTTTTTTTATTCTACATATAAGTGATACCATGCAGTATTTGTCTTTGTCAATCTTATTTCACTTTGCTTAATGTTGTTACAAATACCAGGATTTCCTTCTTTCATAAGGATACATTTTCTGTATCCATTCATCTGTCAGTGGACACAGAGGTGGTTTTCATACCATGGCTACTGTGAATATGCTGCAATGAACATGGGAATACAGATAGTGATTTCATTTTCTTTGGATATATACCTAGAAGTGAGATTGCTGGATCACGTGGTACCTCTATTTTTAATTTATTTGGGAACCTTCATACAAGTAGGGGATTTTAATATTCCCATTTAGTAATGGATAGATCATACTGACAGATAATCAACAATGAAACTTTGAATCAACAATGAAACTTTGGACTTAAATGATATGATATACCAGATAGACTACCATACATTTACAGAACAATCCATCCAACACCAGAATATACCGGTACATTCTTCTCAAGTACACATGAAAATTATCTGATAGGTCAGATGCAAGGCAACAAAACAAGTCTTTTTTAAAAAATATATATATTTTATTGATTTTTACAGAGAGGAAGGGAGAGAGATAGAGCGTTAGAAACACCGATGAGAGAGAAACATTGATCAACTGCCTTCTGCATAGCTCCTACGGGGGATGTGCCCGCAACCAAGGTACATGCCCTTGATTGGAATCGAACGTGGGACCTCTTGGTCCGCAGGCTGACGCTCTATCCACTGAGCCAAATCGGTTAGGGCCGTGGTCAGCAAACCACAGCTCTGGAGCCACATGCAGCTCTTTGGCCCCTTGAGTGTGGCTCTTCCACAAAATACCACGTGCGGGAGCGCATGTACAGTGCGATTGAAACTTCATGGCCCATGCGCAGAAGTTGGTATTTTGTGGAAGAGCAGGTATTTTGTGGAAGAGCCACACTCAAGGGGCCAAAGAGCCGCATGTGGCTCGAGAGCTGCGGTTTTCTGAGCCGCAGTTTGCCGACCACTGGGTTAGGGCAACAAAACAAGTCTTAATAAATTTAGGAAGATTGTATTACTATCTGTTTCTTGTAAGGCTGGTCTAGTGGTAATGAACTCCATCAGCTTTTGCTTGTCTGAAAAACACTATTTCTCCACTTCTGAAAGACAACTCTGCCTGATAAAGTATTCTTGGTTGGCAGGTTTTTCTTTTGAATATATTATCCCACTCCCTTCTGAACTACAAGGTTGCTGTTGAAAAATATGCAAATATTCTTATGAGGATTCCCTTGCACATAATAAGTTACTTTTCTTTCGCTGATTTTAAATTCTCTTTGTTTTTAACTTTTAACAATTTAATTATGTGTCTCTGTGTAGTGTCCCGAAGGGGTGGTTTGCAGTCAGCGCCTGAATGCAGGCTAATTAGAAGCTGGATCCTTAGATACCAGCTGGACCAGCTGCGGTCAGATTCTTTTCAGGGAGAAACTGGGAGGTGGGCATTTGTGCCTGCTCCCTCTGTGCTGAACCTGGGTGTGTACCTATTGAGGGTTGCTTCTGTGCTCATTTAAAAACTTCATCTTTGTTGGCTAGATTTCCCACTGGAAATGGATTTCCAATGCAAGCCCAGTTTACTACCAGAGCCAGGTGATTTGGGGGCCTGTGGCAGCCATCTAAATTGGGGCATTAGATGTGTATACATGCTCCTTCCAGGGAGATACTGGAAAATTGGTTTTATTGTTGGAGGGAGAAAGTGGGCTCCAAGGAGGATCACCATCATCCCATAGATACATGCTAATTAGAAGCTAGACACGGGGGACTCACGAATGCAAGCCACATTGGTTATCAGAGCCAGGTGACCTGGGGGCTTGTCCCTTGGGCAACACCACAAAACCTGTGGCACCATCGGTGTGTAACACTCTTCCCGGAGAAATGCTGCTGACCTGGTTTCATCATTGAAGCGAGCCTGAGGGAAAAGGTCGGGGAAGTGCCCATGGGCTTGTTTGGGATCCGGGGAGGATTGCAGTGAGCACATGCTCATTAGAAGCGACAGTCTAGGCAGCAATTTGGAAAGTGTACTGTCGAGCCCTTTACTGGGAAAGACTGGGAGATGAGCAAGTTTGCCTGTTCCCTCTGCACTGAGCCTTGGAGGATAGCCGCAATGAGTGCTCACCCCCTGTTAAGAACTGCTCTTGGTTTGCTATAGTTCTGGGAGACTCAGAAACCCAAGCCCCGTATTATTTCAGAGCTAAGTGTTTGGGGCACCTGCCCCTCAGGTGGGAACCTTAGAAGCTGGTGCCCTAGATGTGCAGTCCAAACCCTTCCCTCCTCTGGGAGAAGTTGAGTTAGGAATTCCCTCAATTGTATGGTTCTGTGCCAGGGGTGGGGTTTATGGTGAGACTGTGTCTTAGCCTTTCCTACCCAATTCAATGTGGGTATTTTCTCAGTTTCCCAATGTGTAGGAGTCACTCAGCTAGTTTCTGGTTTTCTTGGAGGGAATTACAATATAGCTGTACATTCAGAGTAGCTTGGAGGAGGGAAATTCAGGAGCCTCCTCATTCCCATCTTGGTCTGGAGTGACTCAAAACTTATTTAGTATAAACAAAAACATGATCTCTTTTAGAATCTAGTCAGCCGTGGGCAAACTACATCTGGCCCATTTGAAATGAATAAAACTAAAAAAAAAAAAAGACCGTACCCTTTTATGTAATGATGTTTACTTTGAATTTATATTAGTTCACACAAACACTCCATCCATGCTTTTGTTCCGGCCCTCCGGTCCAGTTTAAGAACCCATTGTGGCCCTTGAGTCAAAAAGTTTGCCCACCCCTGATCTAGATGCTAATGACACTAAGTAAATGACTATAGACAAGAAGTCCATTACAGCTTCAGAGGCAGAAATGAGCAAGAAAGAGTATTCTGTTAATTTTTCAGTGAAGTTCAGTGATGGAAAGACAACTCATTGTTAAACAAAAATTAGCATTTTTCACTTTATTCATTTACTTTAGATTGTGCTTACAATGAACTCCACTGGACTGCCACAAGAACATAGGAATCAAACTATGTCACTATCCTGTTTATAATTCATCTTTAATAGTACAATAAAGGGATTATTTTTTAAAGATTGTTGGTTGCCTACTCTGATGATAACCTCCAAACACAAGAGGGTAACATCGGTTTATTTGGCATAGTAACTTGTTCAGCAGCCAGCACCCAAACATCTGCCTATATAGTGAACAGATCACCTATTTAATGATAACTTCCAAATATATCTCCCACTCTGATTTCTCTCCTGAACCCCAGACCCCGATTGGCTTGTGAGTAGTGTCACGTGGTGGTCCCACAGGTACCTCCAAGTCAACATATCCAACTGAATTAAGCTAAACCATAATCTTTCCCCTTTATCCCCATTCCTGAAACTAGACCTCCTCTCAGTGAGCTAGTGTCATCCCTTTTAGACCCACTTTTGCAAGCTACGAAGAAGACAATCACTTGAGGCTCCTTTCCCTTCCCTACCCCATCCTTCCCTCCTATCTAGCAATGACCAATCCCATTAATTCTCCTCGGTAGTGCATCTTCATCCCCATAACCACTTAGTATCAGCTGTCACCATTTAGTCACTTAGACTATTATAGCAATGTGTTTATTGGTCTCCCAGACATCTAAATGGCTATAAGAATTATCTTTAAAAAAATCTTATCATGCCAATGTTCAGAATTCTGTAAGTTAAGATCTAAATTCCTTAGCATTTCATACAAGGCCTTTTAACGTTTTTTAGCCTCACCTCCCAGAACTCTCTTCATTGTCTTCAAAACTCTCTTCACTCACCCATATATCACTACTGTACACATCTTTTGTTTTGGCAGAACTAAACATTCTAGTTCCTCAAATCTTTCTTTCTGTGTATCCTATAACTAGTTCTTTTAGCTTATATATGCTCTCTTTTCCCCCCTCCTGGCTTCTTTTAGTATGTTTCTTTATCTTTGATCTTCTGTAGTTTGAAAATATGCCTAGGTGGAGTTTTTTGGCATTTATCCTGCTTTGTGTTCTCTGAGGTTCTTGGATCTTTGGCTTGGTGTCTGACATTAATTTGGGAAAATTCTCAGTCATTATTATTTTAAATATTTTTTCTATTCCTTTCTTCTCAGTTGATTGGAGCATCATCCCATACACTGAAAGGTGGCGGGTTCAATTCCAGGTCATGGCTTATACCCAGATTGTGGGTTTAATCCCTGGTCAGAGCACATATGGGAGGCAACCAATCGATGTTTCTCCCACATGGATGTTTCTCTCTTTCTCTCTGCCTTCCTCTCTCTAAAATCAATTTTAAAAAATATATCCTTGGTGAGGATTAAATAAAAAAATCCAACAGCCTGGCCAGTGTGGCTCAGGTGGTTGAGCATCGTCCCATGCACCAGGAGGTTGCTGGTTCGATTCCCTGTCAGGGCGCATGCCCAGGTTTCAGGCTTGATCCACAGTAGGCGGGGTGCAGGAGGCAGCTGATCAATGATTCTCTTATCATTGATGTTTCTATCTCTCTCTCCCTTTCCCTTCCTCTCTCTGAAATCAATTTTAAAAAAGCAGACATAGATACAGAGAGCATTTTGACAGATGGGACAGGGATTGGGAGAATGGGTGAAAAAGGTAAAGGGATTAAGAAGTAAAAATTGGTAATTATAGAATAGTCACAGGAGTGTGAAGAACAGCATAGGGCATATAGACAATAATATAATAACTATGTATGGTGTCAGATGGGTATGAGATTTATCAAGATGATCACTTAGTAAGTTATATAATGTCTAATCACTGGGTTGTACAACTGAAAGTAATATAAATTTGCATGCCAACTGTAATTGAAAAATAAAAAATTGTTTAAAGAAAATAACTCATAGAAAACTAAGACTCAAATGGAGCACCTGATAAAATGATTGTATTTGACCATACAGTTCTACTGTTCTACAGACCAACTTCTCAATAGCATATTTTTCATCATACATGTATCTACTCTAGGACCCAGCAATTCTACTCCTGGTATTCACCCAAAATAAATAAAAACATGTGTCAACAACAACAACAAAAACAGAGTCTCTGGCATGTTTTTAAATGGTTCCTTTTCCCCCTCACCCAGGGAGGGGGAAAGGGAACCATTTTGAAGTACACCAGAACTTCATCTCTGTTTCTTTTCTATTTACTGTGAGAACCTGGTTTATCTCCTGGAGGTAAAGCTCACAAAAGTGTGGGGATGCCCCCTATAACTGTCACCCCCCCAAGTTTTTAACATTCAGACTTGTCCTCACTATGCCTCCAGCAATTACACTTTCAGGTTTTCCTACACCTGCATAGGTTTCTGCAGCAGTTTCCACTCCTGAGTCTCTGCTCTATTCACCTGTCTCTCCAATCTTGAGGGCAGTTGTTTTCTGTGTGTTCTCACCTCTCTTAGGAATCTAAGAAGAATAACTGATTTTTCAGATTGTTCAGTTTTTTTACTTGTTTACCAGCTCCTTACATGAGAAAACAGAAAACCATTATAATATCCCAGAAATTGGTAAACAAATTCGTTTTTCTGAATGCATCATGACCAATTCAACTTGATCCTCTTTCAGTCATCATTTCTGTCTGAAGAAGCCCATCATTTTTTAGCCACTTAGGACCATTGCCAAGCCTTCACCTACAGCATTCTGGTCACAAGAGGGAAACCGCACTTCCTTTCTTCTTCCCCTGCCCTTCCACTTCTAAGTATCCCACCAACATCGGTAAGATCTGTCACTTGTCCACACTAGAGATAATACATACTAATAAGAGAAATAAGTAATAAGAGAAAAGAGCATAGATCTAGACCACCACAAATACCCATCTTCCTTCTTAAACACTCTATTCAGGATCCACATGATTACTCTCAATACCCTATTTCTCCCAGAAGATTCCTGAGTTGAGGGTAGCATGTAAGAGGAGGAAGCTGGGATCCTGACACTCACTCACCTCTGGAAGAGCTCTCTGCAGCACACATAGGTCTCATAGGTTCTATTGGTGAAACTTGTGTTTAGGAAGGAGACACAGTCAGCTTCAGCTCCCCTGGGAACATAGAGGATTCCTGGATAAAGGAGACAGAGATAGTAAGGGGAAGATTTTACACATGTTCCTGATAGCTCTCAATAATTTGGGTGTAGCCGAAACCAGTTTGGCTCAGTGGATAGAGTGTCGGCCTGCGGACTGAAGGGTCCCGGGTTCGATTCCGGTCAAGGGCATGTACCTGGGTTGCGGGCACATCCCCAGTGGGAGATGTGTAGGAGGCAGCTGATCGATGTTTCTCTCTCATCGATGTTTCTAACTCTCTATCCCTTTCCCTTCCTCTCTGTAAAAAAAAAAAAAAATCAATAAAATATATTAAAAAAAATAATTTGGGTGTAAATTGGAGAAGGTTGTAGATTAGGTGCCTTTTCTATGCATCTGTGAGATGGATGGTTAAGTCGGTATTCTGAGAGAGATCTTATCAGTACCTAGGTATGTGAGTTCTACCAAGAGACTAAGCTGAGGTACATACCTGCCACACAGGCACTGATAAGGGATACACAGGCCCCTGTGAAGAGGGCTCTGACTACAATCTTGGACAAGTCACTCTTCCGGTGGGGTACCATTGATGCTGCAGACAAAACAAAATAATTTTATCTCTTCCTCACCAGCCAATCTGGTATTTCCCATGAGCCCCAATTAAAGAATGCAGAAGAACAAAACACAGCAGATGAAAAGCTTTTTTTTTTTTACTACTAACCACCAGAGGCTGGCCAGCAGTGCCCTAAGAAGTGTGTATATACATTAGTCCTGAGGGTTCACTAACTCAAACATTTCCCAGGTCAAGGAATGTGTGTCTGACCCTAACTTCAGTGGTTCCATGAACATTCCCAAGATGCATCTAGATCAAGGAAAGCTCCAGTTTGGTCCAGACAGACACAGATGCCTGGTGTTCACTAGTTGGACCAGAATCTGATGGACTGTTTGGAGCCAGAGGGATAAGGTTGGCCACATTTGCCTAAACCTCAGTCACATGATGCACATCCCACTGCTAGATGGCAATCTCACAATCAGGCAGTAATTGGGCAGCAGAATTAGAACAGCACAGACAAGCATTTAACAAAGGGGGGAAATAAACCAAAAGGAAATTGTTTCACCTTTAAATTGTTCAACCAGCAGCCAAATAAATCAATTTAATGATTCTTAATGATTCTAAATGGACACACTTAGCTGCATTTCTTCTTACACTTTATTTCTAACCTGGATCTTCCAAACTCTTGGCATTTGCTTTCCCTGCCCTCAAGGACAACTCCACTTTCCTCATACTCTTTCATCCAACCATCACCCACAATCTAAATGTATCTGTGTCTGCTTCAAATACTTACCCCTCCCCCACCTAGTGATTTTTAGCTTTTAATCCCACACTTGATACCAGTGGTTCTTACTGTCTATCTGCCTTATGTGTCTGATGATTTTATTTGTCTTTTGATTCCTTATGCAACTCCTACTTCTGTGAAGACAACTGGTGAGCAGCCTAATCTCAGAAAGTACCTTTGGTACTGAATAATAAACCAAGTATCTCTACTTATATATGCATAATACCCATTTAATGGCAAAATAAAAGTAATATCATGATAATCTTCCTCAAAGGGAAAATAAAAGTAAAATAAGTCTTTTGAGCCTTTGAACGGAAAAAGAGTAACAGAAATTGAGATTGTAAATCCAGCGTGGGCTCCATGCATAGTCAGGCAGCATGGTTGCCTTAACTCCAAATTACCTGTGCCAATCAGGGCCCATTTCACACCAGCTTCTCTATCTGGTCTCAACTTGTACTGAAGCACCAGACTGCTTACTACAGAAACTGGAGTCTGTCTGGCTTATTGGGTAGCTGGGAAAATGAAATAACTCACTCAGGCCTCCCAGTGTGATTCCTATGGAACTAAAATTGGCAAATCCACAGAGTGAAAATGTTGTAATCGTTTCAGCTCTCACCTAGGAAAAACACATGTAAATAAGTAAATAAATTCAGTCCCATATGTGTAGTCATAAAATCATGATAGAAGTTCCAAAGATCATAGAACCCCCAATCTTTTCCACATTACCCTAAAGACTATGGGAAAGATGCTCAGAAAATAATCACTTCCTGAGTTATTACAGGAATAATATTATGGCAACCACAATGGGCCTCTTTGCCCAGCACTCTTCTTGTTCAAGTCCATGAGTACGGAGAAGGCCTAAGAATGAGGATGATTGAGATAGAGGGAGAGAGAAAAGGAGATCAATTTATAGCATTTAAACTTATACATGAAGCCCTGACCGGTTTGGCTTAGTGGATAGAGCGTCAGCCTGCGGACTGAAGGGTCCCAGGTTCGATTCTGGTCAAGGGCATGTACCTTGGTTGCGGGCACGTAGGGGATGTGCAGGAAGCAGCTGATCGATGTTTCTCTCTCATCGATGTTTCTAACTCTCTATCCCTCTCCTTTCCTCTCTGTAAAAAATAAATAAAATATATTTTAAAAAATAAAAAAAAATAAACTTATACATGAAGAAGGGGACCTTAGATCATCAAAAATAGTGTCTACCCTGAACTGCCCCAACTGTAAACTACATTATAGAGAGAAGTTGGGTCAGAGTGCAGGGGAGGAATAGCACACAGACCTCAGGGGACTGGAGCTAAGAATACTGTTATGCTTCTTTGTGGTTTAGGCCTGGCACCCTGGAAAGGGATCCATGGGTGTGAAACAAACTTGTGTAACACTTTCTGTCTGCCCACAAATGATTTATGCTCTTCTGAATTGTCACTTACAGAAATCCACTGTTTCTCGCCCTCGATCCACTCTTCCACTCCAGAGAGACGTTTGCTCTTGTATTGAGACAGTTGCTGATAGGCCACAAACTCATTTGTGAAGAACTTGATCCCCACCATCTCAGCCACCATTGGACAATCTGCCCACTCTACACCCATCATGAAAACCATAGGCCTTAGGATATAGGAGCAAATCACCTAGGTGAAAAGAAAGAACAAGTAACACAGGTCAGGACCCAAGGACTTTCTCTGGAGCCTTAACTTAGTCTCCTCCACCCTTCTATCCATGCTTTCTTTTAGCTCACTGTGGGTCAGGGGAGCACGCACAATTCAAGGACCACTTAAATACAACCTACAGGGGCAGCCCAACAAATGTAATTCTTTACCTGGAAAGTGAGCCCCTGTATGTCTACCAATTCCCCTAGCCAGGAAAGGGCAGCGTTGACGAAGGCCAACACGGCCAAAAAGGCAATCAGGTTGGCTGCTACATTAGTAGCAAGGCCTATGGCATCTGTGGCTCCATTGCTGGCAGCTTCCAGGATATTCGACTCCTTCCTGTGGTCATTGGGCATAGAAGAATATGGTGTCTGGATTAGTCTCAGCCTCTCTCAGAAGAGAAATTCCACTTTTCCTGTGGTTCAGAAGTGCAGGAGGAAGGTGCAAGACCAGCTTAAAAGGTGATGGGGTTCCTTAGTGACCCTTGTGGTGGAAATTATAGTGAAGCAGTATCAGATTTAATTGTCATGAAATTGCACTAACACCTAGGACAGAGGATACTGGTCTGCAGAAGACAGAGGCAGTTGGAGGGTTAAACAAATAACCTACATGATCAGCTAGAGCAGCGGTTCTCAACCTGTGGGTCGCGATCCCTTTGGGGGTCGAATGACCCTTTCACAGGGGTTGCCTAAGACCATCAGAAAACACATGTATAATTACATATTGTTTTTGTGATTAATCACTATGCTTTAATTATGTTCAATTTGTAACAATGAAACTGGGGGTCACCACAACATGAGGAACTGTATTAAAGGGTCGCGGCATTAGGAAGGTTGAGAACGCTTGAGCTACAGGCAGAGGTGGACAAGAGGGAATATGGAATCATATTATTCTTTCTCCAGGAGACCTGAAGCCTCTGCTGCCACAGCACTACTCTTGACTCTGCACCTGACCTCAGCCTCTCCCAAATTATATGCCTCATTGTACTCACCCACGGGGCAATTTTACTCCTTCCTTATTCTTGAACTTGGATTCCTCCACTTCTGGATATACCAACTTTGACAAGGCAAGAGCAGATGGGGCAGCCATCACAGATGCAGAAATCAAAGATGACGCTTCAATCTGTAAGGCCAGACATAGGAATCAGAGTCTGCAGAACGCAGACTTGGGTTTACCCAGGAGTGATCAAACAGATTGTGCCTACCCCAAAGGATATGAAGGCTCCCAACACAGTGCCTGAAATGGTGGCAAACCCTCCGGTCATCACTGCATGGATTTCAGAGAGTGTCATGTCTGCAAGGTATGGACGGATGAGCAGAGGTGCCTCTGTCTGTGAACAGGAGAAGCGAGTCAGATTCAAGAGGATGTGACTCCCCACCCCAGAGTGCCCACCTGGCCCCAGGGACACATCCCTCTAGTGTGAGTGCCCTTCCAGGAAGAGCTCTGTTTGCAGGCCCTCCCAGCATCTGCCTCACTCTCTCTGGCACCTAATCGTATCCTGGCTGGTATTGTTATCATCCATTTTCATACATGTTTGTCTTATTTATTTAAATTCTAAAATGCTATGGAAGGGGGAATGGTATATTTTTTTCTCTATGTCTAAAATCAGCTACAGTACATCCTCACTTAATGTTGATAAGTTCTGTGACTGTATAATGAAACCAGATTTACCATAGACTAATTGATATAAACAAGAGTTAAGTTTCTATGGCATCTCATCAACTTTATAATGAAATAAAATTGAATGAAATACTTTTTGTCCATACATTATTTGAGGACCTGATGTACTTAATGAGTGACCTTATGAAATACAGTGTATTTCCTGAGTACATATTAGTAGCTTTAAAAGTACTTGTTAAGCCCTAACAGCTTTGGCTCAGTGGATAGAGCATTGGCCTGTGGACTGAAGGGTCCCAGGTTTGATTCCGGTCAAGGGCATGTACTTTGGTTGCAGGCACATTCCCAGTAGGGAGTGTGTAGGAGGCAGCTGAATTGATCTTTCTCTCATCAATGTTTCTAACTCTCTATCCCACTCCCTTTCCTCTCTGTAAAAAATCAATAAAATATATTTTTTTAAAAAGTACTTGTTAAATTAATTGCAAATATATTATTAAAGCCCATTGTTGATGAAATAAAAATATATGTTTGTGAAAATGTTATGAAATTATGAAGACCCAATTCTAAACTGTACTTAGCATCAACCTAAGATAATGTTATTTATCATTTAATGATTGACAATTATGTGCCTAGTGCTGTACTAGATGCCAGGGATATTAATAAAAATAAGGAAAAGTTTCTACTGATAGGAGCTTATAGTCTAGAACAGAAAACTAAGCCAACACAACTATGGATAATTTCAGCAAAATGTGCAGTGCTAAGGTGGAAGCATGCAGAAGTTCTCTGAAAACATTTCAGAAATAGTTAATCAGCCAAGGGCCTTGAGAGAGGAAGACCTCAGTACTAACTCCTTGTCAATTTGACAAGCCATTGTCATTGTCCCTAACATTGAGTTAATCAGTCAATAGCATATATTGAGCACCTATTCCATATAAATGTATCAAACAATGTGTTATGGGGAAGAGCCTTGGTGTTAGCTCTGAGCAAGGCAAATTATTGCCTCCTCAGAGACCCTGGAAAACACGGATCACAGGGAGAAACTAGAACCAGAGAGCACACGGAAGGCGGTGAGATTTGGACCAGGACGTTTCCCTCTATTCCTGTGTAAGAAGTTGGATCAGTGGTTAAGGATGTCCAAACTAAGTATACCCAGGTAAGTAGTTGTATTACACATGAAGGGTAAAAGCAGTAGCCAAGTTTCCCTTGAACTTCTGAGTTTTCTTTCATCAGTGATTGACTGCCCATACATCTCATTTATTTGACTTTTCAGAAGGAAAACATACTTTTCTCAACCTGTTTTCTGCCACATCATGTATTCCCAGGAAAAAATGATCAGAAGGCCTCAGAGTACTTACCATACCCACAAAGATGTTTCCTGCCACAGCTAGGGTCTCTGTGGCGGTGGTGCCCATGGTAATTTGTAAAAACCAGGCAACCTAAAGGGATACAAAAACCTAAACCGTTAACATTAATGGAAGTCTTGGAGAGTATCTAGCAAGACTCCTCCCAAACCCCTACCCCCATTCCCTTCTCCATTTACTGGTAAGGAAACTAAAGCCTAGAGAAGTGGAGTGACAAGCCCACGGCCACAAAGCAAATTATAAAGCCTGGACCAGGACTCAGGACTCTTGGCTTCCAGAACTAGTAGATTAAAAGTCAGTATGAAATAGCAGTCCAGCCCATTTTCTCTTCCTGCTCTGCTCCTCAGCCTACCTAGAGCCTGGGCCTGACCATCCGACATCAGGCATGCTTGGGTTTGTCTTTTCACACTGGTTCTAACATCTAGATCCTACATGTGAGCATTTTTCCAAAGCAAGTGTCATGTTCATGCTTCCTGACAGATCACAAGATGAAAGCCCCCCTCCTGAGTGGTGTAGGAGAATGACTCACCTTCTGAACTATCCACTGCACAAGGCCCAGATAGTAGAGAATGGACATCACACATCCAAAGTAAATGATGATCGGTAAGGCCTGTAATGAGAATGACGGGCAACTAATGAGATACTACAATAGACCCCCCTTATCCATGGTTTCACTTTCTGTGGTTACCCACCATCAACCATGGTCAGAAAATATGTTATGGAAAATTTAAGAAGTAAACAATTCATAGGTTTTAAATTGTGCGCCATTATGAGTATCATGATAGAATCTCGTACTGTCCTGATCTGTCCCGACTGGGACATGAATCATCCCTTTATCTAGTGTATACATTGTTTACACTAGCCGCCAGCCCATTAGTCACTTATTAGCTGTCTAGGTTATCAGATCCACTATCACAGTATCTCAGTGCTTGTGTTCAAGTAACCCTTATTTTATTTAATGGCCCCAAAGCTCAAGAGTAGTGATGCTGGTAATTCATAAAGTGCTTCCTTTAAGAGAAAAAGTAAAAGTTCTCAATAAGAAAAAAAAAATCGTATGGTGAGGTTGCTAAGATCTATGGTAAGAATGAATCTTCTATCTGTGAAATTGTCTAATTTATAAATTGAACTTTATCAAAGGTATGTCTGTATAGGGGGGAAAACAATATTTATAGGGTTTGGTAATATCTGGTTTCAGGCATCCACTGGGTGGTGGGGTGCGGGGGAGGGGAGTCTTGGAATGTATCCCTCACAGGTAAGAGGGACTACTGTACAAATGTGCTCATGTATGCCATAGATGGACTGTGTTTTAGGCCTCTAAATTAACTCTCAGCCTTCCAACAGTAGCTGACACACTATAGATACTCAGCAGATATTTTTTAACACAAGCGAGTTTAGGAATAAATTTTAAATGTATTATATCTATTATCCCATTAGTACCAAGCCACAAGGAGCCTTCCTCCCCCACTCCTATTTTATTCCAGTTTCAGTGTGGTAAAGATCAAAGGGTGGGAGATTGATGCTGTTCCTTCTACTGATGAGGTCTGATCCTCTTCTTAGGGTCAAATTGGTATGTAGACTGGCTGATCACTTGGGCACACATTTTTATCCTCTCCTTTACACTTCTCCCCACACAGACCCTCATCCCTGCCTACAAAACAGATAATGACCTGAAAAGCAAAGACATCCTTGACCAGCGTATCCCCAAAGACAAAACTGGAGCCAGCCACTGTGTAGTTCAGGAAAATCTGAAAGAAAAGAGAGAGAGAGTGAACAAGAGTGAAGCCAGGTAGGACACAGAGGAACATTTGATCAGACTCAGGCATGATTAGGTCCTCCTTCTGTTACTGAATGTATCTCTCACAGGTAAGGGGGGACTACTGTACGAATGTGCTCATGTAGGCCATAAGTGGACTGTTACTGAAGTGGGTCTCCCTTTGACAAGATGGGGATAGGCTGTATCTCCATGAGCTACTCACTGAATGACATAGAACTCGGCAATTCAGTTCTCTTTATTCATATGATTAGTTGTACCCGAGTATACTCTTTCCTTTCCCACCAGATCTCCCACCACCATCATTAACAAGACATAGTCCAATCTCTGCATGCCCCCCCCACCCCCAAATCTCCTTTCTCTTGGGTTCTGAAAGAGCATTCAATTTCTCATACCTGAATCTGGTCTCCCAGCCATTGAAATGCATTAAATCCAGGATCAGTTCTGATGACCAAGATCCCAAAAACAAATTGAAGACCCAGGCCCCAAAGCACCGTCCTCCAGGACACCTGGGACCAATAAGAACTCCCGTTATTCCAATGTGAGTTCTAAACCCTACTTGTCCATTACCTGGTTGGAATTTTAAACATGGATTCATGGTACTCTGGATGAAACCAACCAAGGATGTTAACAGGAAATCTGGGGTAAGATGGAGTAGGGGGAAACAGAGTGGGAAAATATTTAAAGAGCCACATATGTCCATATGGTTTTTAAAACTGTGTCTACATGTTAGATGACACACATGCATACATACATATCCTATATAATAAAAGGCTAATATGCAAATAGACTGAACTGCAGAACGACTGGTCGCTATGACATGCACTGACCACCAGGGGGCAGATGCTCAACTCAGGAGCTGCCCTCTAGTGGTCAGTGCGCTCCTACAGGGGGAAGGCTGCTCAGCCACAAGCCGGACTCAAGGCTGGCGAGCGCAGCAGCACTAAAGATGTCCGACAGAGGGCACAGGCCAGGCTGAGGGACCTCCCCAAATGCACGAATTTTGTGCACCAGGCCTCTAGTATACAAATAAAAGCATCATAACCAATACTTTAATATTCCTATTGCAATACAAGCCGATTCTTTATTGTATTCTATTTTCTTCCTTTTCTTTTCTTTTTCTTTCTTTCTTTCTTTTTTTTTGTTCTTTCTTTAACACTGGCCTAGATCCACTAATTTGATATTAAGGCTCATCAATGGATTATAACCTACCATTTGAAAATAAGTGGTCCACAGCCTCTGAGAACTTTAAAACTTCTCTTAGAAGCAAAGTCATCAAAAAAGCAAATTCCAGAGATTCTAAAGAGTTTAGTTCTATGCCTTTGTAATCAATACTTGACACATGCAGTTTGTAATCAGTAACAAACAGGCCTTGGCCCACCCTGCATACCCCAAACTCACTGCACTGTGGTGTTTGGAGCAGGCAAAGAGGATGAGGATGAACATGCAGATTCCTGCAAAGGACATCAGCTGCTCTGGCCTTTGGGCTGTGTCTAGAGCTAGCCACAGGATGAGGCCAACCAAGGCGACTCCAGCGAACACCCTGAAGAGGGAATGCCAATACCATGTCATCAACTCAGTGAATGAATAACAAATAATTAACCTTAGCTCTAAAAAACAGAAGTTCACCCCAAGGGTAAATGAAATAACTCAATAGATTAGACACAGAGACATCTCTTGAGAATCATTCATCCAGCAGTTTCCTAGCTAGCAGCTCCCTCTCCATTCCTTGTACTCCCAGAGTGAAGCTGAAAGAGTCCAACCTGAGGATGCAAATCACATGAGTTCCTTTCCTCAAGCTTCCATATCAGTAAGATGTGAGATAAAGACTCATTCTTTACGCTTGTACTAATGAAAAACTACAGTATTTTTAATAGAAAGAAAAGTATGCATGGTCCTCCCCATGAATCTTCAGGCAATTTCCAACCACTCCGAGGGCCAGAGTAAAAGCTAAGCCACCAACCAACCCCTATGGTCTTATGGTCCCTTGATGTACCAACATGCTGGATCAATCAATGCACAGACAGGTTTCCTCACATCTGAGTGTTGGAGTCATTTCAGTTCGAGGGAAAAGAATTAGAAGGGGGAGCACATATGAAAAGAAAGCAAAACAAATAGAGTACTTTGTCCACTGAGGTGTCTCAGGAACAACAAGGATAACAAAATGCATTACAAGGCCAGGTTGAATTGTGGAGCTGTTCTTACTGTGAACTCTTCTCACTTAAAGTGAATAAAATCTGGGTTCTAGAATCTATCCTGCTAATGAATAGTGTCATTTTAGCTTTGTCTCCTCAGTGTCAAATAAATCAATGATCCAAAATTTAGGTTGTAGTCTGGTGTGTTTCTTCAAATAATTGCTGTTGCAAACATTCTTAACACCTATTCTCTGTGCGTCCATTGGAGAATAGGCAGAAAACAGGAACTCTATAGAGAGTTCTAAAAGTTATTTTGTCACTAAAAGTCACTATAGAGAGTTCTAAAAGTTATTTGTCAGTCTAAAAGTTATTTTGTCACTCCAGGCCTGTGTTCAAAGAATATGCACATGCTATATAGTTAGTTAGATGAGCTGTGGCTGCTATAAAATCCAGTTCAGTATTTATTGAATGGTAAGTTTGCCGGTTAAGCTCTAAGGAACTGTAAAAGACACCGGTGGGGTGCGAGAAATCTAGGGGACTAGAAGAAAAAAAGCATAAAAAGTATCAGGGAATTAAGGGAGACACATACCAGTATGACCATCAAATCAATTTGATAGCTTAATGCAGCTGTAAGCCTCTTTGTTTTGATTACTTCATTGCAGAAAAGTATGATTTTCCTTATTTCTGTCATAAACCCTGACAATAAACAGATGGAAATGCTTCTCTGAAACTTAACCCTTCCTGCCCCCCTAGAAATGTTGATACAAGAGGCTACAAGAAACTGGACGGAAGTCCAGTGCTCAGAGGCCTGTTGTTATTTGCTCTCTGAGCATTGATTTTGAAAAGTATAGGTGAGGGTCTGAGAGACAGCTCAGGAAATGTCAAAGAAGAAAGGGGGACAAGTTTGAGCGACCAGGGATATTGAGATTCTTAACTCACCGTTTCATCCAAAGCTTCAGACAGGAGTTTTCAAAGGGCTTCAGACATCTTGTTAATGTTTTACCAAACACACTTTTCAGAGCGCGGTGAACCAGGACCAAGAGCACCAAGCACGTGAGGACGAACAAGGCCAGTGCCCTCTGGAAATCCAAGATGCAGGCTGCCAGGAAGTAGGCAGCGTAAGCTAAAAGGAGAAGGGGCAGAGTAAGGATCAACAAGTCAGAGCTCCCCAGGGGCAAATGAAGCTCTAGTCACGAATGTCTGGGACTTAAAGCAAGAAAAACCCTCCAGCGATGTTGCCCCCCAGCCTCAGACCCAGCTGCAGTTCTCAAGGCCAGGATAGATGGCTGGTTTCTTCTTGAGGATACCCAGGGAGAGTCCAACTTAGTTTGAATACTGCATGTTTTCACTTATCTTTAATTAACTTCCTTGAATTTACTCTGATATCCTTTTTCAGAGTAAATTTGGAGTGCATTTGATCAGTATCCACCATTAAAATACTCCAAAAGTCATCTTTTCTAAAGCTTTTAACCTTTCCTCTTGAGCAAAATCATATAAACACTAGGAAGAATATCAGGTCCTCGAAATATGGCTTTTATTATAACATTGATAAGATGCCATAGGAACTTAATTCTTGTTTATATCAATTAGCCTCTGGTAAAATTGGTTGATTATACAGCACTCCACCTCAAGTGACAGAACCCATTGACAATGTTAAGTGAGGACTTACTATACAGTCCTCATCCCATAGCTCCTTGACTGACCCCCAAATATAATTTTTGTTCTCATCATCTCAGCTGCCTCTAATATTGACATCAAAATCCCATACATCACTGACAATATATATCAAATAGAGGTTTGCTGTTTTAAAAAGTATTTTAGCCCTAACTGGCTTGGCTCAGTGGATAGAGAGTTGGCCTGCGAACTGAAGGGTCCCAGGTTCGATTCCAGTCAAGGGCATGTACCTTGGTTGTGGGCACATCCCCAGTTGGGGGTGTGTAGGAGGCAGCTGATTGATGTTTCTCTCTCATTGATGTTTCTAACTCTCTATCCTTCTCCCTTCCACTCTGTAAAAAAATCAATAAAATATATTAAAAAATATTTTATATCATTGATCTTACTAGCAAATAAATAATGTATACCACAGATTTCTCTTGTAAAGACTATAAAGACCATGCCCTACATTGAATCAAGACACTAAAACAGACACAAGCCCAGATTCTCTGAAATATTTAAGTCTATCAAATAATTTTGAAAAATAGTTTATGCTCAGATTTTACTTATTCCTAGAAGTGCAACTCAATAAATATAGTTCAGATTATTTACTTATAAATAATTCAGATCTATACATCAAATAAAAAAAGATCAATTTGTGAATAAAGTTGTATCTCATTTAGAAACATCTTGACACAAGGTCACATTCCTAAAATGATGTGTCTCTCGCTTATAGGAATTCTCAACACCTCACCCGAACAGAACAGGCCCAGCAGGATCTTCTTGAACAGGCTGGCATGTCTTTTGCAGAAACTTCTTGCCCTGGTGAAAGGTTGTAGTAGTCTCCCCCTGGTGAGAACCCAAAAATTAAGATACAAAAGTTACTCCATCCCATTTGTGTCCATTCCAGACCTTAGATGACCTGGCCCGAGGAAGAATTTTCTCTTCTCCATGAGGAAATTATTCAGCCAGGGGGACATTAGGTAGAGCCCCGGCAATGCCCCAAAGGCCACATCGCAATGGGCCAGAATAACCCTACCCAATCCAGATATTACTGGCAATATCTCAGTAACCTCCTACCACAGAGGTGGACACTCACATCAGGGAGAGACTCCTGGGACCTATTCCTTTCCTGTTCCCTGGGGACCAGGCATTGCTCAGTTTCCAGATTCAGAAAAGGGCCTTTTCTGCCGAGTGGCAGCTTTGACCATTCCTTTCTAAAAACCACACAAACCCATAACTCTGAACAGCCAATCAGATGTGCATTGACAGACCGGAAGGAAAACACCAATAACCCATGGGTGAGCAGGGCCTGAGAGGGAGGACTATTCAAATTTGATTTAACATTTATATAGCCCTTTCTATGTGCTGGGTTCTTCCTAAGTGTTAGGTTTCCAGCAATTGAGTTAACTCTGCTACCTTTCCAGGCTTCATAAAGAATGTAGTGAGTAAAAAGTATTGCTTAGAAAGGTGTCAGATACCCAAAGCACATCATTATCTTTGGGATGTCATTCACAAAACACATCAAGGAAAGAATTAATTTTTAACCCTAGTCTTCCCCTATGTGCCAGGTGTATTTGATTTGCTCTTCTAGATCCACTCTCCACCTTGCTTTGTGCCCAGGGAGTCTTACCCTGTGGACTACACCTATAGGCTCCCATGCCCTCTGGCTTATCTAGTTGGGTTCTACCAGGGGAACCCAGAAGGGGATCAGAGTGTAAGAAAAGACTGAGGTCAGCATACTGAGATCTTCTTTATCTGACTCTCTTGGGTCCTCTTACATCTTGTCCCTTTGGGCCTAGAATAGTAACGGTTTACTGTTGCTGGCCTCAGGTTCTTGCACTGTCCTTCCTTGTGGTTCCACTACATCTTACACACATCTTTGTAATGGTCTCTTTGTACAGAAACCCTTTTCTAATTATCCTAACTTAAGTATTCCATTTGTTTCCTGTTGGTACTCAAACTGATACACTAGGTAAAGCTGATATAAAATTATACACAGTCACATGCCAGATCAGCAAGGCCACTGCAAAATAAGAGTGGGCATCCACTAGTCCAGTGGTTCTCAACTTTCTGGCCCTTTAAATACAGTTCCTCATGTTGTGACCCAACCATAAAATCATTTTCGTTGCTACTTCATAACTGTAATGTTGCTACTGTTATGAATTGTAATGTAAATATCTGATATGCAGGATGGTCTTAGGCGACCCCTGTGAAAGGGTCGTTCGACTGCCAGAGGGGTCGCGACCCACAGGTTGAGAACCGCTGCACTAGTCCGAGAGTGAATATAAGTCACATGCCTGGAAAAGGTTTTTGCCATCACCTTGTAATCAGACTTGACCATTTCCTGGGAACTAAAGTTCAATGGGTACTACCAGAAATCAAGTAAAGAACACTCATTTCTGCAAAACCCATTAACAACCTGATTCTAGAATAACAAGTTGGAACTGGACCTCTGGTTTAAAAAATTAAAACAAAAAATAGAAAGGAAAGCCATGAGGGGCATCCAACTGAAAAGAGGAACCAATTGAGAAGCAGTGCACAGAAGCATGTGAGCAGGTGTTCATGATCCTGGCGTCCTGCTTGGCCCAGGATCTTCCTAATACTACCAAGCTCTTTACTTTACATAATGGTAGAGTTTGAGGGTTAGTGTTATGTTATATCAGGAAGCTCAATCTAGAAGTAATCTACCTGATAGATGCTGAGATTCCACACCTTGCCCATAACTTGTCTGAAGCATGGGCCCACTGTTAAGTTCTTCCGGTATGTACATGGGAGGCTTTCCAGATATGGACTAACAACAACCCTCTCACTTATATGCTTACTGCCTGCAGGCTCAAGTGACAGAGCAAGAAAGAGTAGGGTAAGGATGATAGGCCATGCTAGCTGGACATAACATTAGAGGACACTACAGGTCAAGCCTAGCAGTAAGAGTGTGCATGCATTTTCTCAGAGATCCTATCCACAACATGAGGAAACTCTCCTAATTAAGGGAAACAGAATTATGGAAACTCCTAGGGTCTGGGTACTATCATTTCTCAATTAGAGGAGAAAGCTTAGGACAGCTTTCTGAAAATCCATCTCCAGTGACTATTGACATTGTGGTCCTGGGTGAATCTGCTGCTTTAGCTTGAAGAACTAAAAAGAAAGGAAATGAGTCAACCCAGAACCAAATGATGGTCTGAGTAAAGAGTGAGGGCCTCCAGGCAGAAGTGATCAGAATCTTTTCAAAGGCTTAAGGGATTTATTTAATGATGATACGAAAAGAATTAGTCAGTGGATACTGTACTTGTGCTGCTTTGCCAGATTCAAAATTATGTACACAACTAGTTTCAAACTGGATGGGCAAGGAGAGCTGGGTGGTGTTGTACAGGGTTTGAGAAGTTATCAAAGTGTCCAAGGGTGACTGAGTCTGAGGAACAAAAAGCTTATCAATAAGCCAAAGTGGAAATCCAAATACTAGTAGGAGTTGGAAAACCCAGGAAGGCAAGAGAAAGGTCAGAGGGAAGCCAGAAAACTTACACTGGAAGCAGACTGTGCACCTGGGGATGACCAGTTCTGAGACCCATCAGCCCAGGTAGAGTGAGAAGGCAACCCAAACCAGAACGCAGCCAGGTGCTTAGTTGCTGAGCTGTGATGGATGTATTGTCTTGGAGGGAACTCTTCCTCCCACTGTATCCAAATCTCTGCTTCCTGTGGCCATTTCAGGTAACAGAAAACATCAGATCTTCACACTAGGACAGGAAGGACCTATGTGATGGGATTTCTAACTAGCCCTTCAACCCATCCTCTTCTTCCTTCCAGAATTCTGTTCTCTCCAAGTTAGAGGTAGCCGTGGCTCTGACAGACAGTGAAATCTTCCCAGGTAAAGTGTTCCCTCTCATTAGGGAGGGTCATGACTACCTTCAATGGCCTTTTGAGCCAGGCCCTTTAGTTCTGTTGTTAGCAGAGTTTCTCCTGGTTTCTATTCATCATGGACTTCCTGTGCTAATACAGTTTGCCCTTATTTACACCTTTTAAAAAGATCTCAATAGGAATTTGAAGACAAAGGAGCTCTAGCTCATTCAGCTATTGATATCAGGTTCAGGCCCTAATGAGAAACAAAATAAACAGGAGTGAGGAGAAGCTCCCAGCAAGGAAGGGCTGCCTAAAATTCTTCACTTGGGAATTGCACTGGCATGTAACATAGGCTGCAGGCACCCTTCCCAACCTCCCTCCTGGTAACTTGTACAGCTCACACCCACCTACCTATCTTGCCATCCATCCTACCAGGCTTACCACCATCCTCCCAGGAAGTCAGAACAGTCGCTCTGATAGGGCAGCCAGAAGACACAGCAGACATAGTAGGAGCAGTTTGAGAGCTAAGAGAAAAAGTGAAAAAGAGAAATGATCTTTAGGCAGGAGGAGAGGTCAGTGATATTCAATGATGATAAAATCAAGCAGCTTAGCAAATGAGAAGAAGATGCTAGATTCGGCAGTGAAGAGGTCACTGGTTCTGTGGGAGAGAGCTGTTTACAGGAGAGTGCCTGGGTGAAAGCGGGATTGCAGGGGATTGAGTGAGTGTGAGCATATATGGACTACTTTTTTTATTTTTAGGTTTTCCTGTGAAGAAAAGAAAGACCAGATACTGTTTATTAAGCACCCTTTACCAGACCTCACCAATCATCCTCCCCTCAACCACAAGGTTAGTTAGGTGTATGAGCAAGGGAACTGAGCCTGCCAGTAGGTGGCAGAGTTGGGTTTTAAAATCCAGATCTTTCCATTACTCCATGTGGCTTCTACTTAGAGATGTAAGACTAGAATTTCAGAGGGATCATCCCAGAATTCAAAATGTATGATTGCTAAGAGAGCAGAAGAGAAGAAGCAGGTAACCATGCCTGTGATTGCTGAAGAAGCTCTCACAAAGGAGAGGAGACGTGAACTGATAGGAAAGGAAGGGGAAGAAGTCTGCTAAGTGGGTATGTTGCAGGCAGTTAGAAGAGAAGGGTGGGGAGTCTCCGGAAGAGGAAAAGCATACTTGAGTGAGCCTAGCATTTTGAAAGAATAGTATGATTTTCAGTTGCTGGGAAGCAGGGAGGATGTAGATGGATGGTGGGAAGAAAGCTGGTAAAAGGGACAGAAGCCGGGTCATGGAGATTCCTGGTATATGCCATGGTTAGGAATTCAGGTATTATCTTGTAGAAAATGGAAAGCCATCGTAGAAGGTACGCAAGGTAATAATGTGAGCAGATGTGTGTTTTAGAAAATCACTCTGGTGGCAGTGGGGCGAGAGAGAGACTGGGGCCATAAAGGAAGTAACTGAGGGTGCAGGGGGAGGTTGATATGAGGAGAGAGGATTAGTATCAAGTGGAGGAAAACTGGGATGATAATGAGGTTCCTGCCATGCATGCCTTAGTCATTCACCAAAATAGAGAATATAGGAGGAGGAACAGACCTAAGGAGAAACAGACATGAGGAGGAAATGTGAGTTTATTCATCTCTGTGTGCCTAGAGCCCAATCTGGGACCTGAAGTAGTATGGAAGCCTCAAACCTATGCTGATAGGAGTTCGGTTGCAATGTTTGATTTGAAGTATATAAGTGACATCTAAGTGTTTAGATGTTTGGCAAGTGGTCGGATATATAGGGATGAAGCTTAGAACAAAGGTACAGACTTCAGATATGGTTTTATGAATCAAGACATTACATATAGGAGTGAGAAGAGAAGACAAGTGACAGACCCTGGGAAACTAAAATAAAGAATATCCAGAGAGGTAGGAGAATGAGGAGGGTGTAGTGTCACTGAAATCAAAACATTAGTTTCAAGGAAGGAAAGGGTCAGAAAGGTCATGCTGCAGAGATTTCCAATGAAGTGTGTGTACATTGAACTTGATAAGTAGGTTTTTATTGCTCATCTGAGTAAGAGAATTTCAGCTGACCAGTGGTAGTGAAAACGAGGTTACATGGGACTGAGAAGTGAATGGACAGGTGATAAAATGATGTTGCAAATAAGTCCCACTTTTCCAAGAAACTTGGCCATGAAGGAAAAAGATATCATAAGGTTGAGTTGTTTGTTTGCTTATTGTAAGAAGAAAAAACCTTGAGTACATTTATAGATTGAGGAAGTGTCTAACAGAGAAGGAATAACTGAAGATGTAGGGGAAAGAGGGCTCTGTAGAAGGGGATAGAGAAGGATGATAATGAAGTTGGCTTCAGACTTAGGGAGAGTAAGCCTTTTGATAAAGGAGGGAAAAAGATGAGGATTCATGCAGGTGGAGGTACATTTAAGTTGGAGCATATAGGAAGATAATTTAGTATTTAAACAAAAATAGTAGTATGGAGTTTATAACATGTAGAAGTAAGATGTGTAAACAAACAATAGTAGTATAAAAACTGGAAGGAGAGATACAGAAGTATACTATTATATGGTTCTTATACTTTACATGAAAGGATATAATATCACTTGAAGGTATACTTGTAAGTTGAAGGTATGTTATAAACACTAAAGCAAGCACTAATATAACAAAAAAAGAGTTGTAGCTAATAAACCAACAAAGGAGATAAAATGGAATCATTTAAAATATTAAATCAACCTAAAGAAAGACATAAAAAGAAGAAAGGGCATAACAAGAGGAAAGGCATTAAAAATAAAATAGAAAGACATCTCATGTTTATGAGTCAGAAGAATTAATATTGTTAAAATGTTCATACTACCCAAAGCCCATCTATGGATTGAACACAATCCCCATCAAAATACCAATGGCATTGTTCACAGAAATAGAAAAAACCATCCTAATATGTGTATGACACCACAAAAGACCCCAAATAGCCAAAGCAGTCATGAAGAAACAAAACAAAGCCAAAGACATACTTTTTTATTTCAAACTATAATACAAAGCTATAATAATAAAAACAGTATAAACTATATATATAAAAGCCTGAGCGACCATTACAACTGGATGACTGGCCAGTAGCTATAACGCCCACTGACCACCAGGGGGCAGGCATTCAATGCAGGAGCTGCCCCCTGGTGGTCAGTGCACTCCCATAGTCAACCTTCCATGGCTGGCCAACCTCCTGGGGTCCCTCCCCACTCCACCCATGGCTGGCCCTGATCGCTGGCTAGGCCGAGGGACCCCACCCATGTACAAATTTGTGCACTGGGCCTCTAGTATGTCAAGACACATAGACCAATAGAACAGAATAGAGTGCTCAGAATTAAATTACCACATATACAGTCAACTAATATTCAACAAGGGAGCCAAGAACACCCAATGGGGAAAAATAGTCTCTTCAACAAATAATGTTGGGAAAACTAGATAAACACATGCACAATAATGAAATTGACCTCCTATCTTACACTACTCACAAAAATTAAGTCTAAATGGATCAAAGATTTAAACATAAGACCTGATTCCATAAAACTCTTAGAAGAAAATGTAGGTGAAGAAGCTCCTTAACATTAACCTTGGTGATAATTTTCTGGATATGACACCAAAAGCACAAAAAACGAAAGGAAAAATAAACAAGTGGAACTACATAAAACTTAAAAGCTTCTGCATTGCAAAAGAAACAGAATGAAAAAAAGCAGCCTACAGAATGAGAGAACATTCTGCAAATCATATATTGCATGAGAGGTTAATATCCAAAATATATGAAGAACTCATACAACTCAATAACAAAAAAACAAACAATCCAATTTAAAAATGGAGGAACTGAATAGACATTTTTCCAAAGAAGATATCCAATTGGTCAACAATGAAAAGGAGCTCAACATCAGTAATCATCAGAGAAATGCAAATAAAAACCACAATGAGCTATAACCTCACACCTGTTAGAATGGCTGTCGTCAAAAAGACAAGATATATAACTAGTGTTGGCAAGGATGTGGAGAAAAGGAAACCCTTGTACACTGTTGGTGAGAACGTAAATTGGTTCAATCACAATGGAAAATAATATGGAGGTTCTTCAAAAAATTGAAAATAGACCTACCATATTATTCAGTAATTTCACTTCTGGGTATATAGCCATAGGACCCACAGGAAATGAAAACAAAATATTAGAGAGATGTATGTGCTCCCATGTTTATTTCAGCCCATCAATGGGTGAATGGATAATGATGCGATATGAATATATAGGGTATCTCTAAAAAATGTATATACCCTTTAACAGCTAATAGTTCAATTTTGAAAGTAAAATGTATTTTAATAAATGCTGCCTTTATAATTATTCAAAATGTGTGTATACATTTTTTGGGACACCCTGTATATGTATATATAGCTAAACTCAGAAAGCGTAATGGAAAGAAAGAGAAGCTAAAATCAGTTTACATTGCAAGATCAGATTAAGGATTTCCTGAGGAACCAAGAGCAGAAGTAAGAGGATAAAGATGGGTCTGAGTGTGTGTCCTGAAAATGGTTGACCTTTAATCACTAAAACTTGTCAATTCTATTCTAAAAGTATATCTGGGGTTTATCTTTCCTAATCTATTCCCACATATCCGTGTTTTTTAAATTGAGGTTTAGAGAGAGAGGAAGGGAAGGGGAAAGAGAGAGAGAGAGAGAGAAACATTGCTATGACAGTGAAACATGTGGCATGCCCCCTACCAGGAAACTAGCTTGAAACCAGGGCATGTGCCCTGATAGGAGTGGAACTGGCAACCTTTCGGTGCATGGGATGACACCCAACCAACTGAGCCACACTGGGCAGGACAAAATCTGTAACTGGCTGTGATCAATTAATTGTAGGTACCATTGCACTTGGACCAGCCATGTCCATGTTGATATATATCAACTTGATTACAAAAGTGACTTTCTGAAGAAGAAAATAGAATTTAAAATTTTAAGCTTGTTTTCTCTGTGAAGTCACTAAGTTAATTCTTAAAAATAAAGAAAAGAAAACCAAAAAAATAACTATGTATTTGGGATTATTACCTTTAGAAACTATTCAACAGCCTCTTCTAAGCTTCTCAACGTCTGATTTCTGCACTTTTTTATAAATATCCAGATCCTTTTCCACACCATGCAACATGGCTTCCATCTGACCCACTTTATCCAAACAACTTTCTTAGACATTACTTCTGGGACCAAATCCATGAGCAAATTCAAAGATTTTTCTCACTCCTACTTCCCTGACCCCTGTCTGTTCAGACAAAATTGTGAACTGTTCATTCTTGATACTTCCTTCCCTTTTGACTTTCAAGGCTCTACATTTTTACTTTCACTGTTGTCCCTCATGGTGGTCCTTCTCTGCCTTTTTTTTCTTTCTCCCCATCCCCAAATTTGAGTATTCCAGAAGAGGTTTTGTTTGTTTGTTTGTTTGCTTTTCTTTCAATGATATGGGTAAGTTAATTTCTAAGCCTCAATTTTCTAATTGATAAAAAAGGGGATTAAAATTAGTGTCCACCTATTGTTGTAAAAATTAAATTACAGTGGGGCCTTGACTTACGAGTGTCCCGACTAACGAGTTTTTACGAGCCGTCTCTCAGCCGAATTTTTGCTTTGAGTTGCGAGCTAAAATTCGGGTTATGAGCCAGCTTCAGATACCCCACCGCTAGTTGGCGCAGCGAACGTCACAGTGAACGCCACAACATCAGCCCAGCATCACGTGTCTCACTCGTTCACTTTAATGATTTGACATACGAGTAATTTGAGTTACGAGCTCTGTCACGGAACGAATTAAACTCATAAGTCAAGGCCCCACTGTAATTACATAAAGCATTCTGTACAATACTGAGTACTCAAAAAATGTTAGCTGTTACTATTCTCATTGTTGTTATTTTTGTTGTCAGTCCAACCAACTCCAATTATATATCACACAGGTTTAGATACAAATAGTTGTGCATATGTAACATCAGGTGGCTGTGCGTCTTATCGCTATAATACGACCATGAGCTTCCTGAGTCCAGTGGCCACAATGAACCCACCCTAGCTCCTTAGGCCTTAACTAAACCAATTCCAGAACACACGTACCTGTGGTGAGTGGAAGGCCCCAGCCCATCCGGGGGGCTTTGTCCTTGCTCTTCAGTCCTCCTGGGTCCCTCAGGACTTAACCCTTCTTCCTGTAAGCACAGGTAGAGCTGGGTCAGTCATAGGGCCCTGCCAGGGGTGATGGGGATTGGGAGCAGCCAAAGACCCTACAGGAGGCTACACAGCAGACCTGAAAGCTCTGCATGAACTACTAGTGAACTGGTGGGTTACCGTGAGCTCCAGCCCTGGGTTGTCTGTGCCAGTCTTCATTGTGGACAAAGCAACGGCTTCTCTTCCACTTGTTTTCTCCAACTCCTGTTCTCCTCAACTGCAAAACAAATCCAGGGCCAAGGCTGAAAGATTGGCCAGTCTGTAATGTGGGACTAGGGAGAATTTTTAGGGCCAGTTACCCACAGAAAAAAACAAAACTAAAAATCTTTAGAGGTTTAGCTGATTTCTTTAAGAACTGAAAATTGGGAAGATTGGAAACATAATTTTAATATAATAAACAATGAAATACAGACTTCTGTTTCCTATTGTGAATAGGCAAGGAAGGGGTAATAAGATAGGAGAAGAGAAATAAAGGCCAGGAGGAATGGAAATGAATCAGTGGTTCACCCAGGTCCCCATTAGGTCCCGTAAGGAGTCAGAGGGCAACTACTCCTGTTAACCTGGGAGAGGCCCCACTGTGCCGGGTAAGAAGAAAACAGAAAGGGAGGCAGAGGGCTGGGAAGGCTCCACATCCCAGCATATTGCTGAGAAAACAAAGATGAACAGGTTTTGAAGTTCCTGACTATATTGTAACACAAACATTGTTTTTGTCCTGGTCGGCATGGCTCAGTGGTTGAGCATCAACTTATAAACCAGGAGGTTATGGTTCGATTCTGGTCAGAGCATATGCCTGGGTTGTAGGCTCGATCCCCAGTGAGGGGCGTGCAGGAGGCAGCTGATCAATGATTCTCTCTCATCATTGATGCTTCTATCTCTCTCTCCCTCTCCCTTCCTCTCTGAAATTAATAAAAATATATTTTGGAAAAAAATTGTTTTTGGACCATCTAAGACAGCTCCTCATTAGTTAAATAAAAGAAACCTACACTTAGAATAGTCAGCATGAATGTTAATTATCCCAAATAAAGAAAGTTTTAAAACAAAATGAGAGAATCAAGAAACTAAAGCAACATTTGAGCCTCACTGTACTAGTAAGCAATCCTAATAGACAAACATTCAAATTTATAAACTTATTCTGAGATGTTTCTTTACTTTGCAGAAAGTTAACTTACCCCATGAAATGTTTTTTTTTTATGTGATCTCTTCAAGCATTAAAATATAATTTCATTAAACACACATAACAGATTTTTGCTGTGTAAATTAGGACCTTCCCGTATCGGCAGAGAACAACCTGAATTTGGTCTAAATAGGATCAATTAAGGAATTTAGCAAATCAGGTTCCTACCCTCCCCAAACCCCCTTTCTTACACCAGCTTCTGAGATTCCTTCTGTCTCCTCAGGGAAGGGCGGAAAGAAAAACTCAGCTCCCAGAGATCCTGACTCTGAAGGGAGTCCTCCCCTGTCGAGGAGGAGGGCAACTCTCAAGTTAAACATTTACATATTTTAAAGACTGCCTTGCGGGGTCAGGTCTAAGAGTTCTGCAGGAACTCCCAACTGGCATATCAGCAGAAGCTCTGTCCAGCACTGAACTAAGAGAAAGGGCTCTGTGCTCGGGAAATGTATCGTGTTGTATGGGAAAGACAATTACTAGAAAGAAGGAAAAACAGAAAGCAGGACTATGCAGGATTCAATGCCAAATGATTGCTAGGAAGCACTAGGAAGTCTTTCATTAATCCATTCAACAAATATTTATGGAGTACTCACTGTTTTGGGTGCTGAAGATAGAAAGATGAATGAAACATGGCCTCTGCCGTGAAGGAACTTACAAATCATTAAGGGAAGACATGTGTCAGAAAGGTTCACGGAGTTGGTAACATTTGCCCTGAGTCTGGAAAGTCTTGAAAGGTAAGTAGGGGATGAATGATGGAGAAGGGGAAAGATGTACCAGCAGAGAGAGAAGCGTGAACAAAGGCACAGAGGTGTGGCCTTCTCTGACATGCTAAGGAGGCTGCAAAAATTAGCTAAAGAATGGAGAGACTTTTTAGAGGAATTAAGAAAGGACAAAATAAAGAAATTAGTTAAGAAATGGGGGGGGGGGGGGAGATGCCCGCCCGGTGTTGCTCAATGGTTGAACATTGACCCATGAACCAGAAGGTCATGGTTTGATTCCCAGTCAGGGCACATGCCTGGGTTTGGGGCTCAATTCCCAGTAAGGGGCATGCAGGAGGCAGCCGATCAATAATTTTCTCTCATCATTGATGTTTCTCTCTCCCTCCCTCCTCCTTTCTCTGAAATCAATCTATAATAATAAAAGCGTAACATGCTAATTAGACCAGATGTCCTTCTGGACAACCTTCCAGATGAAGCCGGGGCTGCAGCCGCAGGATCCAAGGCAGCCGCCGCAGCTGCAAAGGCCTACTCTTGCACAAATTTCGTGCATCAGGCCTCTAGTAAAAACATGTTTATTGGAGAAACTACTGAAAAAGCGTTTAAAATGAAGCTAAGCATGTGTTGAAGCTAGGTATAGAGTTTATATTAGAGTTAAGACCTCTGTTCCCTCTGACCAGAGGAAAGTCCCTTGAGGAAATTGTAGTAAGTGTAAAGGCAGAGAAACAACAGACTGAAAATTCCAATTTCCTCATCATTGACTGAGCTAATGTTGAAAGGATATGTCACATTATCTGCTAAACGAGAGCACCGCTTTGGAAATTATCCTTCTTCCAGGAGGACAACTGAAGAAATCAAAGCACCAAGGAGGAGTATTTGGAGGCCCTGCTTTTCCTCCCTTGCTCAATTTCATCTTGCCTTGGCTCCAGCCAGGGTCATAAAACAGCTTTATCTAGGGGTGTGGAGCAGGTTATCTTGTAGAGTGATATAGATTTTTAGAGCAAAGTGGACCTTTAACATCTTCTGGTCAGCCGCAACTGCTCTGACTGTAGGTATTGTAAGTCATCAAGCGGCAGGCAGTTGCCTGGTGGGCATGGCAGAAGGACTCTGTGCTCTGCTGGTCACGCACTCAGGCCCAGTAAACCCAACAGCCTGTTACACAACTCCCACTTTATGGAGATGATATCCAGTCCCTCTCTCTAGCCCTGGCCTTGAGAAGGTAAAGTAAAAACAAAGGTCGTCCCAGAAACCTGACGTTCATTTCCACTTAGATGACTCACTGATGTCTCAGCACCAATAGGTTCTAAACAAGAACTTTCTGTTATCTTCTCAGGTGCCACCTTCTCCCCTAGGTCAAGCATTCCTTATACTTACTACCCTCCTTCTTTCACTGCCCCCCTCCCATTGGCCCTTGCCCTCACTCGGCTTTGTGTTGGAGGTAAGTATGTGTTAGAGCTGGGTATAGAGTTTGCCTTGGAGCTAAAGCCTTTGTTCCTGCTCACCAGAGGGGAGTTTCTCCAGGGAAGAGCTTGTGGAGGAGAAAAAAAAAAAAAAGACATGATGGGGCAGAATGCAAAGGGAAGCATTTAAAGATACATTTCTTCAAATGTCACAATTTTGAGTAGGGTTGACCCTGAATATCAAGCCGTTTGAACTACTGGGGGTATTTAAAATGGTTTAAAGAGGTGGTGATAACAAGTGTTTTCTAAGAACCCCAATATTTTTATAATGCCTAGGTATACAATTATAGTTGATTTTTTTTTTTAATGTTTGCCATTTCTCACAGAATCCTGAAGTTTTTTAAACTTTGCCTTCAAGAAGCTTAAGGTCTTTTTCTCTCTAGCTTTGTCCCTCCTACAGGTTCCTTTCAGAGTAGTGAACGTGTGAAGGGTGTGGAACTAGAGAAGGGGAATGATAAATACCCCTCCATACTGCAGCACTGGGCTTGGCCAGTTCAGTGAGAATGTACTAGACAACCTGCTTCTTCAGCAGTTTTTAACAATCCCAGTTGAAAGATCAACCACATGTTATCTGACCACAGAAAGCAGAATGAGAATATGATGGCAAGTCCTAAGAAGTTATAACCTTAGATCAATCAAAGGACTTGTATGCATGCATATAAGCATAACCAATGGACATAAGACACTGGGGGGTAGGGGAGGCCAGGGGATTGTCAAGGGTGGGGGGGAAAAAAAGGAGACATATGTAACACTCTTTGTAATAATTTAAGCAATAAAAAAAATTAATTATAAAAAAAAGAAGTTATAACCTTTCTGCTCTGCCATTAGGGGTTTCTATCTTCTTTCGTGCCCTCTGCTTTTACATCCTACTTTTAACCTCTCTATCTCTTTGACTCCACCTCCCTCCCTCCCTCCCTCTCTTTTCTCTGTCTCTTCCGCAAACCCCTTCCTCTCTCTGTCCCATCTCTCCTTCTATTTAACTTTGCAGTGCTTCGCCTGAGAAGGTTGTGACAGAGAGAGCTCTGGAAAAATAGGCTGCAGAACGCCTGTGGGGGCCGCGTCAGTCCTTGCAGAGCAGAGCTGGTGATGGAGGCTGACAGGGCTAAAGGCCTGTGTGTCAGGGAGCAGATGGGTGAGCAGTCCTGGCTTTGTGATGGGAATGGATGAGGCTTATGTTCTAGAGACTTAGCATCAAGAACCACCTCCCACACTCAGTCATAGGGTGGATTAGAATCTTTATTCTCTATTTGCTGAACTTCCTGGAAGACTTTGATTTGGGTTCTAATTTTAAAAGCCTTACCTCTAGTAATTCTTATTGATTAATAGATGGCTAATGATTTCCCATGGCTAAATGGGTAGGTGGACAAAGTCTAGTAAGTTGGTGGTTGTAAGCCACTCCTGACCCTCCCCGCAGATGCTCTAACTATATCTCATTGGTGAAAGTCTACCATTGATTGGGAAAACAAGTGATAAGGAAGTAATACTATTTATTATTAAGCATTTCAGGGTTTACCTCTCCTGTTTTGTTTTGTTTTTACTTTACCTTCAAGGCAGGATTGGAAAGATTTGGAGTCAGACTCCATGGGCACAGTGACCTCACTCCCAAATGATTAAATTAGAACAAAAATGCAAGGAAAAATAAATTGTATAAATGGTAAGTGCTCTAAAAAATTGAATAGCTAAAGTGTTAAGTTCCTAATGTAGATCTTTGCTTTAAAATTTTTTTTTTATCTTTGCTTTTTTAAAGCTATATTGTTCACTTATATTTCAGCCACTAAAATGCATTTCACACGTTTTCTGATTTACTCCTGACCATGCACCTCTGAGGAAGGTACTATTGCCATCCCAATTTTCCAGACCAGGACACT